ATTGACTTTACATTCACATTTATGAATTATTCCATTCATCATTGACGAAATACTAACATTAAACCGTATGAGAAAAAGAAAACGACACAAAAAAATCCGATTGGTGTAAAATTCGATCGAGAAAAAGAACCAATAAGAAGTTGTAATTTTTATTTTTCAAAAGAATAGTTTTACCTGTTTTTTTTATCCATGACATAGACTAATAAAGGGTTTGTTGTAAAGTTTTCCTCGAGAAAATTTTAGATGATTAAATTCTAGATTTTAAGAATGAATTAGAGTTCTTCTTTTTTTCTTGCAAGTTTAGGGATTCAGTTTGACAATACTCAAGTGTTTTTAAGAAAAAAAAATTGGCAAAATGCACAGAAAGAATAAAATAATAAATTTCCTTGTGTACGAGTGTTTCATTAAACCTTATATCCAATTCAAAAAGTCAAAAATTCTATTAGCTTTATTTACCATTTGGCAAATGTTTGAAATTACGATTCTTTCAAAAAAAGAAAGATGAGGAATTACAATGATTTAAGACTCTAATAGATTCGTTTGTAACTAATACTTTTTAGACTGAGTTAAACTCTATATAATCATTGCTTATATAGATATATTTTCGATAAACTTTGTCGTCATTGGTTAACGGATTTTTTTATTGTTTCCTATCTTGAAAGATGTTCTATTAAATTGAAATGTCACTAATTACAAGGTGTAAAATCATATTCGACACGTTTACACCTTGGCTCGTGCTGCAATTGATTTGAATAGAAAACTTTAGATAGTACCTTTTTCTTCTTATATTAATATATTTGAAATAATCTCAATTTTATTAATAAATTTAATCGAAGATGATTTTCATTTACTAAGGAGATTAAATAAAAATATACTTATTCTACTTCATTTAGAATTAAATGAATATGATTTTTCATACTGAAAGACCCAGACAGGATGTATGCTTTTTCCGAATGCGATAATAAAAAAAAACCAAGGTTCATATTAAATATCAGTAGAGGATTTGAGAAGGTAGTAAAATGACAATTGTCATCTTCTGACGAAGTTTTTCTTTTCAATTTTCCTCGAAAGAAATGAAATCAAGAGGTTGTACAAACAAGAATGACCTTTGAAAACCGAATTTTCTATTTATCATGATTGTCATCTTCTTCACCAGTTTCCTAAATTCATCATTGTGTCAAATATATTTTCGAAATTTTACTTTATAAACAAATTATATCAAAAAAAAGATTAGCAAAAAACGTCAAAAAAAATATCCGAAAATAATCTTTAAGATCTCTTATCTACTTACATATTGTACACTCGATTGATTTGAGAAGATTATAATCTGGATAGTCAAGAACAAGAAAAAAGAAAACGAAACTCTTGACTTGTCGTCGTAGTACGCACTTCACATGCAAGTTACATCAATCGGTTTTTTTGCATGTATGTGCATCAGACATGTGTAAAATGTATTCCGAGTATTCATTTTTCTTTTACATTAATTCAACTTGTATATTATAATAATAGCCAGTTAAAGCAATACGAAAGAAACAATATGAAAAGCTTTTCTTTTTTTCTTTCTTTTTTACTTTTTTTATTCTGTGATTAGAAAAAAAGAAAAAAACTTTTGTTCATGATAAATCAACAAGGACAAAACTTTTCTGAAAATGTTCTTCGCATTATTATCAACACTTATATTCACTTTCTCTCTATTTCTCATTTACTTCAGGCAAATTGTCCGATGAATGTAGATGGTGAGCACTTATGTTGTGAACAAGTACATGAAATACTTAACTGGAGGCCTTTTTGTTTCTCTCTCTCTCTCTCTCTCCCTTCTCACTACAACAACGAACGCCTGTCAGAATGTCTGTATTACTGTTGTTGTTGTTATTATTATTGTTATTGTTGATGCACACCATTTTTCGTTACTTGCCAATAGTGAAGTATGTTACTCTTTCAAATAGATGTAAAAATGTTCTTCGATGTTTTTTTTTTCTTTATTAAACTAAAATGTACAATTTTTAATGTACATGACATGATTTAAAACGGTTAAAATTACAAAAAAAAAATCAATACTTTGCTTCTTTTTTCTTCTTCTTCTTCTTCGTTTCTCAAGATACTTGAAAATATCGTCAAAGAAGAGATCAGTGAAAGAATTAATTTTTTTTTCTCTCTTCTTACTGATCCCTAAAGGCTTCCGTATATGAAGAATAATGATATGACAAAGAGAAGTTGTTCGTTGTTGTTTTCTTTTCATTTGATGACAATTGTCACCTTTTGTGTAGTATCAAATTGAATTGAACAAAAGAAGATATTTTTTTTCAATCATATGTTGATCTTCTGTTAATTTGCTTTTAATAATTAAGATTATAATATAGATATTGTGAGAGGTTTTTACTATAAGTGTAGATTTTGACAGATGTTAAAAACACACATATATATATATCGATGCATGTCAACAACAAGTATCAATAAAAGTATTGGCAAATACTACTTCATTGAAGATGACTTATTCTGCTGTTTTTGAAGAGATTATGAATATATTGGAATTATAAATGCTCATGTTTGTTTTAGATCAGATTTGAAAATAGGTTGATGAAATGAAATAAAGAAATAAGATGATTCATTCGAAAATCTATTCAAATAATATATTTAATAATTTATAAAAGGACTTTTTAAATTTTTCCAATGTGAACTATATTTTATACAAAATTGATATATAAATTGTCGCTAATTTTTGTTTTTTTTTTGATTGAAGCTTAATTTTCTAAACAATTAATTTCAATTATAATTATTAAAACCAAAATAATCGTAAATTTTTGAATAATATATTTATCATTAATCTATAAATCACAAAGCATTATTATTATGTGCTACAAGAAAAAAAACCAAGTTTCTATCCGATTGACTTTATAATCAGACGCAGATAAAAATCAATTATTGTACCACATATTTATTAAGCTATAATTTATCTTGCTATATTGCAATAAAAAAATTAAATATTTTATTTCGATTTACTACGTATATATTAGTCTATTTAATGAATAAAATATAATTGCATGAATAATAGCTGACAGAAACGTGACGATACACTTAATATTCAACATTGAATTTGCATAATTTATAAAAAGCAAAAGAAAAAAAAAAGAAAATATGAATTAATTTCGATCATATTTTATGAATTCTTACTCGGTCGATGTAATCATCGACAGGATAAGAAATTTTTCATAGTATTCAGTTGTATTTTTAAGAATAATTGAATAGACTAAATTTAATTTAAAATTTAAATTTTCATATCGATTTTTCGAAATCTTGCAAAATAAAAATTGCCTATAACATATAGTGATAGTGACATTTTGTTTTTTTGCTTACGTATTCTAATAATACACTTGATTAATAGACTGAATACCTACATATTTGCCCGTAACATACAGTAAATAGTAAAAAGGACATTTACGACTGATGTATATAATTAGTTTTTTGATTTTTGTCTATCAACATAAAAAAAAAAAAGATGTTAAAAGTCATCATTGACATTGAAATGAAAAAAGAACATTACAAGGTCTAAAAAAGCCACCATGTCTAAGAATGATATTTATAGAAGAAAAAAAAATTTCAATTGTCTTTTTTTTTTCTTTTTATTTTTAAAAGAAATGTTCATAGTATAAGAGAAATCTTGGGCAAGTAACGATCGACATATAATTTTATTATATAATTAAATTTATTTATTTTTTTTATTCTTGAACTTATTAATTATATTAGGAGTTATTAGTTTTTATAATTGCTAGTTCAATAAATGTAATTTATCAAAAAAAAAAGGAAATCGAATTTTATCGTCAATTATTTTAAATAGAGAATTTAACATAGACTTTCTAAAGATCATTTTTTAAAAACAAGTTTAAATACCATAAAATTCATCTCTTTATCATACATAAATTCTTTTCATATTATCATCAGACAAATATTAGTTTTTCCAATAGTAAGAGATGTTCCGAGCGGGAGGGGGGAGAGACCCCTCCCAACCTTGAAAAATTTTCGTTGTACTCCTACAGAGTTTCAATGTTTTATTGTTTTCTTTGTTCACCGATTCCCAAAAAAGAAAGCTCACCCCTTCTCAATCTTGACAACCTCGGGAAACTCTTACAAACAGATCTTGAATTCTCGTATTTTTTTTTTTTGTTAGAATAAAACCTGTTCCTATCGATTATTGAGCAAAATAATGCTATAAAATGAGATTTTCAAAAAAGAATAATATTCTTTTATATGAATAGCTAGAACAATAACATTTATAGAGGGTAATCAATATATATATATATATACAATAATAAGTCATAAATTTCTATCATAGACCATGAAGAAAAAAAAACTTTTATAAGAGATTTAATAAATAAATAAAAACATTTCTTTTTTTTTTTCTTTTTAAGACATGTTTTTAAAATCAAATTGTAATTGTATGTATATATATTAATATAAGGTTTTATTTTTAAGCTGATTTCAAAGTATGATTGCATTAAAAAAAATAAGTGTTTTCAATCAATTTTTTCTCTCTTCATTATAAATATAAACTTTGGTTGCTAGTTCTTTTAAATTCAAACATTGCCCACAATGCACTCATTCTTATAAGTTTCATAACTGTTTGATTAACATTCAAACTTATACTCAGTTTTTTTTTTTCCTTTTCTATATATATTTTTTTCATTACTTTTTGTTCTTTGTTGTGCCATCGTCTATTTTCTTTTGTTATAGGGAATGAAACTTTTTTTTTTTTTTTTTTTGAAAATTTTTTTCTCATTTTCTTCCGTTGTCGTTAAGTAAGAGAATACTGCCAATGTTTGCAACCGAACGGAGAGAAATGGGCATCCGTTATTGTGATGATTGTGACATACATATCACTATTTGTGCATGTTAATCGTTGTTAGCAACAACACCTACTGTAGCGCATTTAACAATTTGTGGCCTTCATATATATATTTCTGTGTTTGTAGTCTCAACGTAATAGATAGAAATTAGATCGAATAATGATCGTTCAATCTACACCAGTCATATTAAAACAACGAAATCAAGCTAATCGAGAATGTCTTTATGCATGGTATCCGGAAGTTGTAACAGATACATCAACAGCAATACCCATGGGACCACGTGATATTTATATTCATAAAGGAATTGATAAAGATCTTATACAACAAAACTCATCAATAAATGGATGTAAGATCAATATTGAATATTTTAATTATAGGAACATATTTATGTAGTCAAGTGTAAAGAAAACAGATGAAAAGTTTATTTCTTTTTTGTTTTTTTTTTTATTAATACACTTTTGTTTTTGGTGACTATTATTTTTTCATTTTTATTCTTCTAGTAATCAATGGTTATAATAATAACAATAGTGATAATGAACTTCTACAACGTTATGGACAAACTATGGCACCAAGTGAACGTATATATCACTCAGCAGAAACACTTGATGAAGCATTAAGAACACCATGGGCATTACATTATGAAATACAACGAAGACCAGCAACACCAAATCCACCATCACATTCTACTGATAGTATGTAAAAATGAAAAAATATTGTTGTCAGGTAGCCTTATAAATATATGAAACAGATGTTTTATGTCAACAAGTTTCTTTTTTGTTCTTTTTATTTCTCATAGATTGTTTTTTTTTTAAAATACAAAATTGCTTAAGTGATGGTTACACAGGAAATTATCTATTTCATATATATTGATAATCTTTTGACAACATCATTTCTGTTTATACAATATGCTTGTTTTTTTTTCTTTTGTTAAATTTTTACACTAAATCAAAACATTTTTTCTAAACATTTCATCTTAAAAAAATGAAATAAAATAAAAAGTAATCGAATTTATTCAATCTCATTTATGCTATTGTTATGTATAAAGATAAAACTCCGATCATTTTCAAGTACTTTATATAATTATAATCGTAGTCAAGCCATAAGAATCATAGAGGATTTGATATATAAACATAAGTCTTAAATTGAATATTTTTTCAGATCGGAAATAAAGATCTTTTTTTTTCACTAGTTGATAAAAATACAATCAATAGATCTATAATTAAAATTGAAAAAAAAAAGAAACAAACATCTATTTTATAATTGACATTTATTGAATAAACTATTTCTAATAATCAATTTTTGTTTTTATTGATCTTTCATAAGTTTCTGTCGCTTGAAAAGTATCTATTAAACAAATAACTATTTCTTTTTTTGCTCATAGCAATACGTGAAGAAATGCCACGTCGTTTGAAAAGTGCCCCACTTGTTCGTTCACTTCCAGTAACATCCGTTCTTACAATTCCTGAACCAAGATTTATAACTCCTATTATTCCAGTTACAACAAATGAAATACCACGATTACCAATAACAACAAAATCTCGAATTCGAGCTTCATCAGCTAAAGCACGTCTTAATACAACGTTTCCTATTTATAATGAACCATTAGATGATAATATAAAACAACAACGTCGAGAAATTAAATCAGCTCAAGGAATCCGATTAAAAGATGAAATAAAATTATCCGATGAAGAAAATCAACAAAGTTGTACTCCAATTTATTCTGATTTAATACAACAACAAGAATTTCCATCTATTCCTCCCACACCACCACCTACGAATGCTTATCAAAAATCTATTAATGGTTATCCTCCAAATGAACCACCATCAACACCAATTGATAAAAAACTTCTTCGTATAAAATCTGAAGTTTCTCCTAATTTATATTATATTCATCGTCCAGGTGTTGTTTCAGTTACAAATATTGATAAACCACCTATAGTACGAGAAAATTCAGCAACTAGAAAAACAAAGAAACAATATCGACGACCTCATCATCATCATCATCATCATCATCGTGAACAACGACATGAACCATTACTTGCTCTAACACCTATATCACAATCAACAAGATTACCTGTTGAAATCGATGGTAATAAATTAATATATGATCCATCATTAACATTAGATGATCCATCATTAAATTTAACAAAATATTTTATTGAAGGACGTTTATATTTAATTAAAGGTCATTATTATAATGTTTTAGAAAATATAGATCCAACACTAATTGAAAAATATAATCAAAATTTAACGTAAAGAAATTTTTTCATATAGATAAAGAAATTTTAAAAATAAACAAAATATTTTTTTTTTTGTTTCTTTTCATCTAAGTCTTCCTCAACGTCCAAAATATTATCAAACAATTCCAATTGAAAAATATCAAATACCTAAACCACCACCAGAATTACATTATAATGCATCAGATACATATTTTTATAATACATTACCTAAACGTTTACATCGTTATGTAATTGACCCGAATTTTATTTCAGAAAATCTCAATGTCAATAAAATATCTATGTCCAAACGACCATTAACAGCAGCTGTTGTTCATTCAACAATTAATGATATTAATAGACAACAAAAAACACCAACAACTGTTTATGCTTGAAATATGAATTAACAACTGATATAATCATTTTTTTTTTCGTTTGTTTTACTCGTGGTGATTTTTTCTTTTTTTTTCTCGTGCTTTTTGTATAACACACAAAAAACAACTAATTAACTGTTTTCGTTTCCATGATTATTATTATTATTATATTTTTAAAAAGATGATTGCTGAAGACATACAATAGTTGGCAGCGGAAGGAAAAAAGTGAGGGGATTACTGACATCCGTTAAATATATCTGTCATAATATAATAATATTTATAAAGACTAGGATATATATGCTCGTCTTAACGTCATCATTATGACAATGATGATAATGACGATGATGATGATGACAGGAATAATATCAATGATGAATGCAAGAATCATTACTCTTTTACATTTTTACTTTTTAATTCTTTTGACGTCATTCAATTTTTTATTTTATATTTTCTTAATGAATAAAGAAAAGCTACCTAAAAATAGCAGATGCTAAAAACAAAATCTGTCTGCATAAATTCTATAGATAAAGAAGTAGACTAGATAATTGAACAAAAATTGCTCATTCTTTTTGACGACGACAGTCATCATTTAGTCGCTCTATTACAAGCATATGCGAAGCAGCACTCAAGCAAAAACTAAGAGTAGGAAAAGATGAAGAAGAAAAAAAATGAGATGAAAGAATAATAACAACAGATGCCAACGATGTACGACTAGATCTATCAAAAAAAAAAAGAGACGAGCAGAAAGGGAAGTAATCGATTAGAAAAAGTAAGTGAATAAAAATTGACAACTTTACTTTCATTTGTGTCTCTAACTAGTTATTAGAACTATGTAGACGTTAATTCTTCATCATTAATCAACATAAGAATACGAATTCTATTCAATTCATGAGTGTATCATTGTTAGACACATTGTTGAATAGCAAGAATTTATGCAAATTAATTTATATGCCCTTGATGCTCTCTTCTTTTTTGTATATTTATAAGTTAGTAAACAATAAAAAAGAACTAGAAAATAAACCAGTGAAAATAGATATTAACATTATGAAATTGAATATTCTTCTTTTGTTTAGTATTTTATCACCAGAGAAATCAACATCCGTCAAGGTAAAGAAATAAGGCTTAAACTTATTGTTCTATTTATATTGTTTCCTGATACATTGCATGAACTCATTTGAACTACGCTCTATTAAACTCTTCTATTAATAAATATAAGTTATTATATATAGTTGACTGAACAAGAACATGCATCACAACATAGATCTATCTAAACATGTATTTATTTTATTATTATCTTTGTTTTTTTTGGTTCATTTCACTTTATGTAAGAATATTATGCTTTTAGTTTTTAACAGAAATTTGATCGATTAGTATTTTATTATTAATTCCAAAAACAGATGTACGAAAATATGAATAGTATGTTTCGCTTTACACGTTATATAAATAAACTATGTTCTTAAATAAAGAATAATCATATAGGTTGATTTGATCACTTGAAGCTATGCCGTTAAGTATATGAGTATCTCATGTCAACGCCTTCAGTTAATTGAAACTACAGTGAGAATATTAGTAAAGAAGATGTATTCAAGCACACATATGGTTTCTATTTGATTAAAAAAATAATCTTCTTTTTGTTTTTCTCATTTATCCATAGATGTTTTTACATGTATCAGAAATACAATATGTTCTATTATCATCATATGTTTTTCAAATTACATTATATGATTCCAATTCACATATTGTATGTATTAATAATAAGAACAAATAGAAAATAAAAGTCAAAATTTATGTACGATCATTCTACAGTGATAATTATATATTAATTGAGAGATGTAGCGAATTTTTTTTTTGTGATTGTTTCATAAACATTAAAAAAACGAAATTTTACAGTTTGTTGATAAGAAAATAGAAAATTTTTATTTTAGTAAAAGAGAAATAATTGTTATTCATTGAATTAAAATAAAAAGAAAGAACTTTTTTTTTATGTAAATAACATCATATTATAAATCTTCTTTGATTTTATCGGATTTTGCGTATATTTGTTTCCTTTTTTTATAAATAATCAATATTCATTGCACGATACAATAAAGAAAATTTAATGTTGTCGGTTATTCAAGCGACAGTATATTCATTTTTATGTTTTACTCAACATCATCATTTTCTTTTTTCTTTTTTTCCATCCTTAAAAGATTATATACTAACGACAATATATACTCATCTATTCATCTTTGACAAACATTAGTATCAAAATATTGTTATGCGTTTGTATTTATGCTGAAATAATAATGTAAATGAGAGAAATAGTAGATTTATATCAACAGTAACTTGAGATACGACAGATTTTCTCTTTTATATATATATATATACATATCTTCGATTACATCTTTAACAATTTACTATTGACTTTTTATCTTTTTTTTTAGATTAATATTATATAACTTATTTACTTTAATACAATAAAAGAAAAAAAACGCTAAGAAATAGTCTTATAATTTCATGATGTAAGTTTAAGTTAAAAATAAGAATATTTAATTGTTTGTTTTGCTTAGTATTTTTATCATCAGTATCTTATCATAAAATAAAAAAAAACATTTCTTGATGATGTTGTCTTCTAATGATAGGATTCATATTGTTGATAGATAGATCGACAACCATCAAACAGATTTCTATATCAAATATATCATTCTAGATTATCACAGTTGATTTCTCTAAATGAATTTTTCCATGAAAGTAAATATAGTAGATTAGTACATTTTATTCTCAATAGCATGAGACAACATTAGATGTAATATTGTTTTATTCTCGGTGACAAAAAATGAGTAATGTATATATATATATATATATAAATATGTATATAACGATGAGAAAATTAGAGAGTGATGAAATATATATATTCATTATAACAATAACATTAATAATTTTTGAAGAGAGATTTAGGTAAATCATTTTTCTTTTGCTCAATTAAACATATAAGAAAAAAACGTTTTATTTTTTTATTTCCCTCAAAGGAAGTATTTTATAGATTATAATCTTTAAATAAAACACATTAAATGCTTTTTTTTCTTAGCTACAAGATAGAATAAAGAATTACATGAGAAAAAGCTCATTTCAATTTTTTATATTCATAAATTAGCTTTACTAAGAAAGAAAAAAAAAAAGAAAGAAACTAACAAAAATGATATATTAATAATAATGAGGTTTTTAAAGATACTAATTCTTTTTTTTTTCTGCGATGATGGTTTTGAAACAAGAAATTTATAGAGTTCCGTATTCATATATATATATATGTATGCTTTGTTTTTACATTTCTAATTGATATAAACTTTCTTAAGATACTCATACATAGTGTTAATTGAAAGCACATGATAATTTTCGAGCGATAATGCATGTCTGTATAATGTTGTCTAGAAAATAAATTATTACCATAAATAGAAAAAAAAAAGAAAAAAGAAAACTATTCTCAATTGAGTTATTTATCATTCAAATAATGATCGAATATTTTTTAAGAAAAAATTTGAATAGGCACTATAATGAGAATAGAATAGAACTAACCTTTGTATAAAACACGAACATACGACCTACTATTTCCGGAAGAACGGCAAGTGTGATATAAGAATCTTTTACTGACATGTCAAGCTTGTCAGGTCTTTTTTTTTTTTTGTTTTAGCTCTACATATTTATGTGCTGAATTGATCTCATCTTATCATGTTAATAAACATCGTCCAACCGTCTTCTAAATCAAATCATATAGATGAGGCGATAAATGATATTCTCTTAACTTTCTGTGTATTCTTTTTCGGTACCACGATAATAGTAGTTGGCATGCGAATGTGTCCGTCAATGCTTTGACAATAATCTATACACTTCATAGAGCAGAAGAGAAAAAAAAAAGAAAGAAGGAACAGAGAATAGTCGAGTATCAGAACTCATCATGATGCCATTTTATAAGTATCCGTTGATGGGTAAGAAAATGTCATTCTAAGATGAATTTGCATGTTTTTTTCCTATGTTTTTCATCTATGACATGCTATAGGCAAGTAAAATGAAATATTTGGAACGTTACACGCTATGAGCATCTGTTTAGCGTAAGCAATAGAAATCCAACTCATATCTCTTGATGCTAATTTGAGCACATCAGATTCGCTTTTTAAGGAAATAGGAAAAAAAAACAAGCAAGCGAAGAATGATCGAAATCCCAACAGATCTACGTGCCTTCATCTACATAGTTACAAAATAACGTATAGAAAATAAAACTAGCAATGGAATTGTTTTGAGCATAAAGACTAACTTTATTTACATATCTCCAAGGAAATGTAGGAATTCGAACGAACAGGAAAGAAATACATAAAAGAGAAACAACTAATTTTGATTAATTGTAGTCGAAGTCTCTTGAGAATCATGTAAGTTTTGAGCAAATTCTTGTTTTCTTTTATTTCTCATACTAAAAAAACAGTGACACAAAAAAAAATAGAATCATAATCATCAATATTTCAATGATTTTTTTATTTATTTGTGTTTCATAGTGATAAAATGGATTGAATATTATGTAACCAATATAAATTAACTATTCAAACATAGTACATGTTTCGTTTTTTTTTAATCTTTTAAGTTTTTCTTGTTTTTTCTAGTTCTTTCTCGACCAAAAAACAAAAAAAATCTTGTGTCAGAATGAGAACCATTACATACGTCGTTCGACAATTTTGTCACTTTTGTTTTGTCGTCTATTGATAGACGACGATATATATATATGCAGACGTGCTAGCTAAAAAAATGATCGTGCCAATGTGTTTCTCTTGAGATTTATTTGAAGAAATAACTATACAACATAGGCATAGATTTAAAAGAACCATAATCGATCGATCATTATACGTGCAAGTCATTTGTTTTGTTATTGATCTTGATTTGTATTGCCTTTTGTTTTTTGTTTTTAAGATAGAAAGAAGACAAAAAAGAATATATACAATTATGAAAAACTGAAATGATAATAATATTAATACTAACGACAACGATATGAACTATGA